CATTCCCATCGATCCCCCCCCCGCCGCTGCCGCCACTATTACGACTCACCCCATCATTTTCACAACTATTAATATTATCATAATATATATAAAATTTTAATTTATTTGTTACTAGCTTGTTAAATAAATAAATAAATAATAATAATTTATTCCATTCCAAGAGTTTAATAGGTATAACCAAACATGAGAATGAGAATTATCTTCTTATTCCTATGTCATTTTATACTAGCAACCAAACAATGGAATGGGAATGGACATTTCATTTTCTATTCCATTCTTACTCTCATTCCATTCCCACTTCATTTTATTCCATCATACCAAACATGCTGAAGAGACTGAATATGAAATGGGTCGGATCCAAACCTTAGGCCGGCCCAATCCATTAGACTCAAGTCTAGAGGAGCCGGGTAAACAAATGGGCCAACCAGTTAAGCCTAATTACATCATCAACAATCCACCCAAGTCCTCAAGCAATTGGGCCCAACCCGTAGTGGAAAGGTCAGTCCAGCCACGATGCTGGGCTGGGTTGGACCGAGCTGCAGGACCTGATCCTTGGACCGAACCAAAATGGGCCAAGCCCATACAAAGATATCCTACTAGGCCAGCCCATCTCTACAAGCAATCTCATAGAGGACCAAGCCGAGGCATGACGGTACCGAGCCAAAGGAACACACCAAAGAAACGTGGAAGCTGTGAGTGCATGCATGTGCAAGTTGTCAGCTCAGCTGGTCCCTTACACCTAGAATCACGAAAATGGTTAATCAAGGGAATGTGGTTTGTTATCAGCATGACTACAATGAGTATATACACCCCTTGTCAACTACTAGATGGTCCCCTACCTTGAGCAATGCTAAAGGAAATGGGACAGCACCGAAGCTCAATGAAACCATCTTAAGCAACAAGCAAGGAGTCTTATATAAACTACACTCACTTCACATTGAAGGTAACTAATCTAAGCTGAACCATACTCACTTAAACACAACTCTCTACACTTAGAGAGTACCTTCCTTCTTCTCCGATTACTTATTCCCACACCGGAGGGGTTATCCGGCCAACTCCGGCTGGGCAGCTCTAACGGTGCTCATTGTTGCAGGGTCTTAATTCCTGGATAGTCCAATCAGGTGCGGAGCTCCGATCCACAATCATTTAGTGCGGTATTCAGTATGCACACATGCTATAAGTTTTCACATAAATATCAAATTTTTCTTGATTAAAAATTGATTACTTCAAAAATATTAAGTAAAAAGAAGTCCTCCCTAGTCAAGACGGATTCATTCAATCGTTTAATAGATTTGGGGCAAGCTACCTTTTATTTTCACATCCTATGATCATTATTTGCTGTATTCAAAAATTGGGGCAAGCTACCTTTTATTTTCACATTCGATGATCATTATTTGCCATATTCAAAAGTTGAACCAGAAGAAATTCATATTGTTGATTATGACATAACAATTAATTTTACATTTATGTTCATGAAAATTCTTATCAATTTATGTTTAAGGATTTTTGAAAATAGTGCAATTTGGATTTATTTATTTATTTATTATTTGAGTATATCTTGAAAGGTAATTTGCGAAAAAACATAAGATGTATTGAGAGAAAATTATAACTCTAAATAATTTAATAAAGAGTATTGAGAAATTGAATGTACTTAATGATTTTTTGGATGTAAATAGAATCCCCCATTATTTAGGGGTGCACATCAGCATGTTGGCTCGCCCAGTCCAACCCTATTTTTTTAGGACTTGGGAAGGTTGTTTTAACCTATACGGCAGGACTAAGCCAACATTTTCAGCCTGATATGTTAATTGGCTGGGGTTTGGGATTTACACTTTCAACCCAGTCCAACCCACTATTAAATTAATTAATTATAATACATTAAAATATACAATTTTTGTTATAATTTAGACTTTATCGTTGTTGATTTTATTGAAACTCACATTTGTTATATGATTGAATTTATTTAAGAAATCCCTTAATTTATACACAAACCCTTTGTAGGGTGATTAGAGAGGCAAACTATATCAACGGTCTAACGAATCTGAGTTGGCTGGAGAATGAGTGACTAGGTGAGGATGGAGCAAAGTGGTTCGAATGGCAGTGCCCAAATAGGCAGCACCTCTCCAAATCCCAAGAAAATCCTTCTTTTGGACCTTGGGAAATGGGTTCGATTTATAGGCTTTTTCTTGGTACCAAAGGATACTAAGTAGCCAAAAATAAGGTGAGGACATGTGTCCTTAAGAATCACATAGAATATTCTACCTTGGACCACCAAGTTGAAGGTGTCACGTGTCCATCTGCATGCACTATGTACTATTTGTTTGACAGAAGTGCCTCTACAACTACCTTTTTGAACCTTGGCAAGTGCACTTACAGCGGTAGTGTTTGCCGTTGCACTTGCCTTTTCAGTTCAAACCTCAGTAAGTGCACTTGCGGCGGTAGTGTTTGCCGTTGTGCTTGCCTTCTCAGTTTGGTTTAGCTAAGACATACATTCTCAGGACTTCATAGTTTGCTATTAGCTATGTTCATGTTTACCTTAGCGACGCTTCCACCCTGAGCCACCTAACCACAAACTCCCAAGCTTTCCAGGACGAAGGCAACCAAGCCTGCTGTTACCCATGCTGTGCCTTAGTACTGTCATGACCCGAACCCGCCCCTATGGATTAAAGTCATAACCAACTAGTAATCAGGAGATTACTTACGGCCTCAAACCTGATCAAGCATACAAAAATAGAAATAAGGGGTCAAAACGGAAGCAGACTTGAAATTTTTGTCCAATGAGCTGTGCTTACATGATAAAGCAAAACATTTCGTAAGTAGTCCATAATAACTCACATATATAATCAGAGGTAATATCTTATACATCTAAGAACTTTCAGACATGCAATCAGCCAAACAAAAAGCTTACATACATGGGTAATCCATCATATTTACCAAGATAGCAAAAAAGGTAAGCAAAAGAACAAAAACAAAGTCTCGTGCGTGAGACATTCGGGTTGACTCCACAAAACATGACTTCCTCTCACTTTCTTCATTGAGGCTGGGTTCGGACATCTCTTTGCTCACCTACATGCATATAAATAAGAGTGAGTGAAAGCTTACTGAATAATATCGAAATAAAGAAGTTACATGAATGAAATTCGTAATAAACATATCAAATGACCTTAGACCCATTCATGTTTCTATCTATTACATCAGACAGCCTCAGGCCTAAACATATCAAACGGCCTTGAGCCCGATTCATTCTTATCAAATGGCCTCGGCCCAATTCATTCATGTCAAGCGGCCTTTGGCCCAATCATTTATGTCAAACGGCCTTTTGCCCAATCATTTATATCAAACGGCCTTTGGCCCAATCATTGGCATAACGAATATTTGATTCAAATTAACAAATCCGTAGAACTCATATTGAAGTAAGCATTTGAAAAGTAGCATGCGTCAACACATTCTTACTAAGATATTACTCACAGTGTTCTGCCGATGGATTTGTCCTTGCACTTGACCCTACACATTTCATAACATTTTGGGTTACAAGTGTAACACCTTAAAAATTTCGACAGGGTATATCTATTTATGTTACAAAACCCATCTGATAGATGAACACATATATATAGTTAACTATTCCATACATCCATTTCCATTAAATCCCAAATGCCAAATACATGCTATTCACATCCCAATGCCCCAATTCCAATCCCCAGCATACATTTTATAACAACTATGAAATGGATGCCAAATAGATAATAAGTGCCCTACAGGCTTACAAATTTATCCAAGAACATTCTTGGTTATACAAAATGGAGTTTCAACTCAATGCAAATACAGCCCTGGGCTTACACTCAACAAATAACAATAAAACAAAAGGGAAGCCTCAGCTCTGAGTCCTCCCAAGTCAATGCCTTGGCGAAGGCATAGCACTTGTACCTGAAATGGTTTCCCTTATAGGGTGAGCCACAGCCTAGTAGAGATATACTACACAACATATGAACCATGACAAGACTAAAAAGGAGTATGCTCATGCCATGCTCATGATAAAACAATTTATCTCTCTTTTTATAAATCATGCAATGTTGAGACGCAACAACAGATATAAAACCATTTCCATTTTAAACCATATCTGTTACATGAATACATGCTCTGTGAATCTCTAGGTGAGTGTCTCCAAGTAGGCCCTAATGCATTACCACTGTCATTTTTACCAGTAAACTGGAAGGCTCGACACCTAACCGCGCGGTTCTACACCCTTTACCCAGATTCACCAAATATTCATCTTTTCGCAAACAAATACATTTCCAAACATTTCTCAAAAACAGATACATTTTCAATGAAATGAATGTAATGCAATGTCCAATGCAACAAATGAGGAATGTGGTTCAATTTACCTAAGTCTCATGGATTTCTACAACAATCATGGCTATCCTCCACCGATAGCCAAAACAGATATTTCTAAACGGATATTTAAACAATTAAATTCCAAAAAAAATTCCGATAAATACAACCTATTCCATATCTCATCAAATATGAACAGCTACACTAGTTTTCATATCACAATCACGTCCGGTAACCCCTCAAGGTCCATTTCTAACCGTGTCAGTTTTGTTCCAACAAATATATTAAGCAAAATAATACCGTTAATGCCCAAGAAAACATCATTTTCTTTCCAAACTTATTCTCCAAGCATTATTCAACTATGACATCCTATTTTGATCGAAAGCCCCAAAATTTAAACATAATTCCTTTTTTTTCTTTAAAAATGCTTTTTTGGCCACAAACCGGTAAAAATTTCAAAAATCAGTCGAATCGAAATCCGTTTTTGTTCAAATTTAAAACATAACTCTTTCATAACCTTACAAACATATTCCAAGTTTACACTTTCACAATTTGGGCATCAACTCTTTATTTTTCTCAAAATTTCCCTTTTAAGCAAATAAATCACAAATTTTCTAAAAATTCTAATTAAATTATATACAACTCTAAGCTCTATATAATCAAGTAAAAGTGTATAAAGAAGTGTAGAAAAAATCCCTACCTCAAGCTACAAGAGGAAACAAGCAAAAACCCCAAATTTTCAACTTTGCCGAATTTTGATCTCCACCGATCAAAACATTGCTCTCGCCAAGCTCTTCACTTTGATCTTAAGAACTATGGTCTAAAACCTAACAGATTTTGGTAGATCAAAGATTTTATATCATAGAAGTAAAAAAATATATATATTCAGAAAGAGAGAGAGGAGAGAGGAGAGAGGAGAGAGGAGAGATGAGAGATGAGGCTGGAGTCTAGCAAGTATTTGATGGGATAAATCCATGGGTCTGCTCATGGATTCGGTTCTCATCCTGAGCATTTCTTTGGTGTTTCCATGGATGAATTTGTAAGTAGGGCCTCTGATTCCTTGTGAAGCCAACACACGTTGTATGTGTTGTGGCAACACTAAAAGGTAGCAGCTAAAGTTTGATAGGACAAATTGGTGGCGGTGGTGTACCTTTTTTCCTTTATTTTTTTTTTATCAATACAAATATCTATCTATACATATACATCTATATATATATATATATATCGATTAAAAGTATATTTCAACATAATTAATGACAAAAAGGATTTAATATTTTCTCACCACAAAATATATTTCGTTTGATGGTATACACCATAAATATTTGTAACTCTCTCAAGATTATAAAATAAATAATAATAACAATAACAACAATAATATATGGTTATAAACGAGTCATGATTCAATCAATTGGGTCCAAAATGAATAGAGTTTAATAATCTAAAATAAATCTCCAACTGAGATTAAAATATAAATAAATTTTAAAAGACTTAAGGTGGTCCCCACCATTCACATAATTAAACATGAACCAAAATGATTAATTATGGGTTAATCAAATAAGTCTCACAAATTAAATTTATATCACATTTAATACTCAAGACCCAAGAATAATTAAAATTCAAAGATAAAAATTGCCATAATAATAATAATAATAATATTTCAATTTAATTCAGCTCGTTACAATCTTTCCCCTTATGGAATTTCACCCCTGAAATTCGCATTGATAAAAAGAATAATGAGATTTACTCTTGACATAATCACTTAAGCCTTAAACTCTCAATAATCATTTTCTCATTGAGACATTCCTTTAATGTCCTTAAACAATTTGTAAACTCACTCTCAAGAATTTAACGCTCTTTGGCCTCCCATTGTAGAAGATACCGCAACCAAAATCGAAACTCTTAAGCACACTTTAAACGTAAAAGAGTAAACACTACAATAGTTTCTCATTGGCAGTAATGATGTTTCCTATAACCTAGATCAAACAAGAATTTCGAACAATCTAACTCAATCAACTTAACTATCGTGATAACATCTCATTCCAACTACATTCCCAATATTATTATACGAATGTGATGTAACAAATTTACAATCAAAATTTCTACACCCTAAGGCCACCCACAACCTTTAGATATGTTGTTCTATAGAAGCCACCCTCTAATTTAAAACCACTCATACTAGAATTTCAACAAACAATCCATAATGGGTTAATCAAAATATATCAAACTTGCAATTGGAATATAACCGCACTCGCAATCTCACTTGAACACGTTCAAACACACCCACAAAATTTGCTTACTACACACAACTAACTCAACAGGTCACAGCAACAAAAGAATCCCATTACTTTGAAGAGCACTCAGAAAAGTATTCAAATATTACACACCATTAAAGATGACTCACCACAAACATTTTTTTTTCCATAATCTAGTGCAATAATTTACTTAATATCCATCCAATGTGATTATCTCAAGACTCTTAACCAATGAGAGCACCCTCCCTTTAAAGACACAATTCCATGATATATTTTGTAATCGCAACTGTCACACGACAACTAACTCATCTCAATATTAAAATGAATTCATACGCGGTTACCCAATTGAATAAAACTATCACAATCAATGACTTCAAATATTTCATCCCATGAGAACCTCCACTCATCCCCTAGTACAATCATATTCTTCCCTGAATTATTCCAACAACAAAATTCACAGATCACCTTAGCCTCAACTGCTTCACTTGAACAACAAGAAACACCAACCCTTATGAAACATAATGCAATCATGCCAAACACACTACTCGAAAATTCTCAGCCACAACTTTAATTGCCCAACCAAGCAATTTTTGTATTATTTTTACCTATCCACTCTATTTCTTTCACTCGACGAACTGACTAACAGTTTACGCAAACTTGTCTACATCCACCAACACAATTTCACTCCAACATAGAATTTACCCTACTCCATAACATATACAATGTACATCCTAATATCAAAATAACATTTCTATCACAATTCCCAAACATCGATAAAAAGGTCTGAATACTTCTCACGAACTTCAACCTCACGTTCCCAAGTCACCTCTTCAACCCCGTGGTGTCTCCACAACATTTTCACCAAGGGACAAATACAAACAAAAGATACACAGACACATACGGACAAATACGGAGAAAACACATAGATACGTACATATACACAGACACATTTGGAGAATATGCCGTTACTGACAAGGAATATTATATCTATGGACGTCAGCGAGCATATGCCGTTACTACGACGGAATATTCCGTTAGCTGACGTCATTACGCGTAAGCAAAATATGCAATAAAGAAATAAAACACGAATGCAGGGATACGGGGTTTCGAACTCTCGACCTCGGGCTCAGCCTCTCCATCCTTAGATGTCAAACCAGACCACTTAACCAAGTCACTCTTGTGACAAAAATAGTCGAATAAATGTATATAATACATAAATATGCAATATATATACATATATGCATATAAATTTCCTGCTTCTCTCTCTTCCTTCGAAAACTGCGTTTGATATGCGGCCTTGCTTTTGCGTCAGCTGGCTAACAAAAGCAGACCTCCTCGATTTGTAAACTCACGTAGTCTTGCTTTTGCATCAGCTGGCCGACAAAAGCAGACGTCCTCGATTTGTAAACTCGCTTCAGCTCTCTCTCCTTCTTTGTCTTCTTCTCTTCCGTCTTCTTATTCTTCATCACTTTCTTTCGTCTACTTAATCACTCTTTTCTTCTTCTTTTTCCTCATTCCCTTTGAGAGAGACAAAACATCGAGACCGAGCGGAAGAGAAAAGCTGTCCCAAAACTCAGTCTGTTCTTTGTTATTTCTCTGTTTATTTCTTTTTACACTTCTCACTACTCATGGCCTCATCTCGTCCTCTCACTCTCTTTCCGGACCTCAATGATCTAAGCTCTCCTGGACCGAGTGTCCCTGCTCCTACTCTTCCTAACCTTTCTGGACTGAGTGCCTCTGTTCCTATCCTTTTTAACCTTCCTGAATAGAGTGCCCCTACTCCTACTCTTCTTAAATTTCCCATGATGTCAGTTGAGCAAATCATGGCCGCTCAATCTGACATTGAGGCCAACCACTTCACACTGAGATCCTGCATGGAAACAGTGACTGTGGTTACCAAATTGTCTCATCGCCTGTAGAATAGGACCAGTGAGGTACATCAGTTAAATGCCCAACTTTCTCTGCTCCAGCGCATGTACAAAGATGCGCGAGTAAAGATTTGCGCACTGAAGGCGGAGAATAAAGAGTTGAAATGGAAGACCACCGTCATGACCCGATTTGGAGCACCTTCGTACTTTGCCTTTGACAGCCAGCAAGGAGTCAACTCTCTCGGCGGTCTTGTACGCACTGAGGCAGGGCCTTCAAGGGTCATCCAAGACGACAAAAAAAGGAAGAGCTCGGCGAGAGAGTCGAGTAAATGAAGTCGGCATGTGGCCGTTACCAAAAACAAGATCTCTCTTCTTTTTCTTTTTTTTTCATGATGCCACTGCAATCAGGGATGTCATCTCCTGACTTCAATAAAATCAGTTTCGTTTTTTTTTTCTAGTCCACTTTTACAAACTTGATATAAAATTGAAAAATAATTAACTCCTCATAACAACAAACCAGTCGCTACACAACACAAACTCTACTATTTTAAGGTCACATTTACACCCACAATCATACAAATCGGTTAACCTACGCTTTAATAGTAATTCCACAACATCTTGACCAATCATCCCGGCCATATTACTCTAGCTTACACCTTCTTCCTGGAGGAAAAGGTATCCTCCTACATAAGAACATCCCGGGCACCCCAAGTGCCTCTATTACGGCCTCTCTCGCTTTATGACATCTTATATAAGAGACAGAATTTAGCTCAGAAGTAAGTACTCCACACTAGTTCTAACACGCTGCATACGGATTAAATATAAACCTACACATGTATCTACATCACATAAGACAAACCATATAAGCACATAGTTACATAAAGCACATACAAGTTACCCCTCCAAGATATTAACTCGTTCCACAAACATTCAAAGACTTCCAAATAGAAATAGCATTGATCAGGTGCTTTTCTAAAAGGACCTCAAAGAATTTCATGGACGCAAATCACATCTCAGAAGTTTAACCCTATACCTACATAGTTACATAAACATTTTATCACATAGCACATAAGATATGCAATATTTCTCACTAACAAAATGAACCCACTGTGGTAAAAACCACTTCTCGCGAGCCCCAAGTATTCAAACCTGGTAGCTCTGATACCAAGTTGTAACGCCCCAAAAATTTCAGCAAGGTATATTTATTTATGCTACAAAACCCATCTGATAGACAAACACATATATATAGCCAACTATTCCATACATCCATTTCCATTAAATCCCAAATGCCAAATACATGTTATTCACATCCCAATGCCCCAGTTCCAATCCCAAGCATACATTTTACAATAAGTATGAAATGGAAGCCAAATAGATAAAAAGTGCTCTACAAGCTTACAAATTTATCCAAGAACATTCTTGGTTACACAAAATGGAGTTTTAACTCAACGCAAATACAGTCCTGGGATTACATTCAACAAATAACAATAAAACAAAAAGGAAGTCTTAGCTCCGAGTCCTCCCAAGTCAATGCCTTGGCGGAGGCATAATACCTCTACCTGAAATGGTTTCCCTTATAGGGTGAGCCACAGCTCAGTAGAGATATATTACACAACATATAAACTATGACAAGACTAAAGAGGAGTATGCTCATGCCATGCTCATGATAAAACAATTTACCTCTCTTTTTATAAAGCATGCAATGCTGAGATGCAACAACAGATATAAAACCATTTCAATTTTAAACCATATATGTTACATGAATACAGGCTCTGTGAATATCTAGGTGAGTGTCTCCAAGTAGGCCCTAATGCACTACCACTGTCATTTTTACCAGTAAACTAGAAGGCTTGTCACCTAACCGCACGATTCTACACCCCCTACCCAAATTTACCAAGTATTCATCTTTTCGCAAACAAATACATTTCCAATGAAATGAATGTAATGCAATGTCCAATGCAACAAATAAGGAATGTGGTTCAATTTACCTAA